GTGGGGATGGGGATAGGCGAAAAGTCAACAATACTGTTAGGTCGGGCGTGTCCTCCTCCAAAACGCACGCAAAAAAGAAAAAACTGTTTCGTAAGCGCCGGGGCGGCGAACTCCGCACCACCGTTACTAACAGCTAGGTAGGGGCACGAACTAGCGAATTGGCCGGCGTGCAAGGAGGGAGGGGGAAGGCCGACGCGGAAGGAACGACGCTCAGACGCCGAAGAGTTCGACGATGAGCAGCCGGCGGGCGGCAGCAGCGGGGCGCGCCGGGCCGGGGCGCGGTGGGCGTCCGTGGCGAACCACGGGGGCAAGGTTGGCATGGAGTGGCAGCCAGCCAAGGGCTGGGGGAGCACAGGAGACGCTGCGTCGTACCGCGGCGTCCCGAGGAGAATGCGCAGCACTGAGCCGTACAGGGGCGGGAGCAGCGAAAAGCGGGCAGTGAAAGGGACACTGCGGCGACGGCCTGAGGCACCTGGCCGAAGGGCGGGGTGGGGCGGGAGGCAAGAGAGCGTCCCGGGCGCCCGCAGGCTGCAGGCACCAGCGACGCAGAAGAGACGAGGGGCACGCGGAAGCGGCGACGCGACCGGACCGCGAAGAGGGGACACTGGCCGCCCGGGGCAGCCAAGGGGCAACTGGGCTGAAGTGCTGGCAGCGGCGGGCATAGCGTCCCGGCACCCGCAGGAGCGGGGCGGAACAGCACCGCAAAAGGAAGAGACAGCGAGGAGCCGCCGCCGCCGAGAGGGGGAGCACCGACGGGAGCGGAAGCCGAGTAGCCGGCAGGGCGGCACACGCGCGGGCGAGCGTGGGCAGGCAAAAAGAACACACAAATCACCCAAAGAGCACGAAACACATCGTCACCAGACTGTCTTCACTGTTCTTGAATCTCCCTCGTGTAGGGGGACCTGCCCGACTTCACAGCACTGAAACTCTCATCCAGCGGCGGCGTGCCACCCGTTGCGGCCAGCTGCTGCTTGGCGGCCCACGGCCTCTCTGTCCCTGGGCTGCCGACGGGGACTGCCGGCTGATCTCGGGGCGGGAGGCCCTCTGGCCGAGGGCGCGCCGCGCCGCTCGGAGGCGTGCAGGCCCCTCCGCCCTACGCCCCGCCGTGCGCCTCTGCCTTGCTGCGGTGTCGGGGAACGTCCAAATGTCGTCGTCGTCCTCCTCCTCCTCCTCCTCCTCCTCGTCCTCCTCCTCCTCCTCCTCCTCCTCCTCCTCCTCCACGTCCTCCACTCACCTCCTCCTCCTCCTCCTCCTCCTCCTCCTCCTCCTCCTCCTCCTCATCGTACTCCACCTCGCCTCCCCCATTCCTTCTCCCTATACACAACTTTTCCCTGTCGTACCCCGAGGCCAGTTTTAGGGCGGGCCGGGCGTTTCGCCTGAGACTTCCTCTCACCATTCATGACATGGAGGGCGGGCCGTTTCCAAAATGTGGCTCTTGCCTTAGCGTCGCGCACTTTCGTTTTCAAAACTTGCAAGAGTTTCACTGATTGAGGGCGGGCCGTGTTCAAAATGTGGCTATCGCCATAGCGCCGCGTACATTCGTTTTAGAACATTTCAATTTTTGTTACGTATAGATTGAAGGCGGTTCATGTTCAAAATGTGGCTCTCGCCCTAGCGCCGCGCCCTCTTTCTGCAACAGTTACTTCGATTCGCGGTGTTGACGTTCCAAGAATGGCGTTCTGGCACGGGTCGGGATCGTCAAGACGAAATAGTCATGTTGATCCGTGGAATTGGAATCTCGAGAACATGGTTTCGCCTGCTTCAGGGTCTTCGAGCGCTGTCTTCCAACGAAACAGTTCCCTCAGTGGAAAGGAACCGTTGTAGGGGCCTATGAAGAGGGAGCCTGGAAGGATGGTTTATTCCAACATCTTTGATGGCTCTTGTGTTTACATTCGTCCTCGTCCTCCTCCTCATGCTCTTCCTCCTCCTCGTCCTCCTCGTCCTCTTCCTCCTCCGCCTCGTCCTCCTCGTCCAACCCTCCTCCTCCTCCTCCTCCTCCTCCTCCTCCTCCTTCTTCACCTCACTGGCCCTCGCAAGGCCCATCCGCGGCCCCTGAGCCACTCAGCTTCGCGAGTCGCGCGTCGCGAGGCCGGACGCGCGGTCCTCACTGCGCCCTCGCGCCGCCCCCAGGCGAGGGGCATCTCTCCGGACCGGACCGCGGTGCGCGAAGCACTTGGGACAGCGATGCACTTGTGACCGCGAGGGACTCGTTATCTTGGGACCGCGATGCACCTGTGCGAGGCGTGCTGTTCGGAGAGGGCAGGAAATACTCCATTTCTTCTGTGGAGGAGAAGTGTTCAGATGCGGAGTGGCGACCCGAGGGACAACATCAGGTGCGCGAAGCGCAACTCTTGTCTGTGCGCTCCCGTAGGCCGCCTGGAGCCCAGGCTCGGTGTGTACGCCCTGCTCGCTTGGCCAGGAAGGCATGCACACCAACCCTGGACCCAAGACCGGCCCAGCCAGGATCGGTGAATTGATTGACGTCCTCGGATGGTGGCGTCGTATCGTGACGTGCTCGATCGGGACACGGTACCCAAACACCCCGTTCCATGTTCCCTTATCCCCTCCTCCCTTGCCTATGCCCTTGTGCATTTGGTAAATTCCCCTTCCCTCCCACTCGCCGTCATCCTCACCCCCTGGGATCTTGACATGGTCCGTGCTCGGCGCCTGCCAGACTTGCTTTCCGAAACCCTCCCTTCGATCCCCGAGAATATGCACAATAGGCGGTTGTCCGGCTCTCCAGCACCTCGGGCCAGCAGAGGGAGGACGAGGACAAGGACAGGGTCATCATGCTGAGCTCCGATGATCACAGACGATGATGAAGTACCCCACATTCCCCAGAAGCTCCGACCCAACGTGCTCTTTTGGGTCCTCGGGGCGGGGCTTCTGGTGCGAGCTGGGCCCACCGACCTTGTAGACGTTGGAACGCGTCGGGGAGATACTCTTTCGCTACCTTCACCTCTCTTGAAGCACCAGTAGGGGCCCCCGACACACCGAGAACCGCACGAGGCCACTTCGGGCCAAGTCCCTGCGCTCTTTGCGCTTCGACCGGGAAAATGCGTTCTTTGCGCCTCGACTGGGAAGCTGTGCCACAATCAGCGGCTCGACAAGGAACCTCCGTGGAATCTGACCCACATGCGCCCCCGCAGCCCCCTCCGCACACCCCAGGCGCCCGCCTGGGCGCGGCGGCGGATCCGCGCGGCAGCGCAGCTGGATAGCACATGGCTAGTTCGGGAGCTACAAGCTCCGCTGGGAAACATCAGGTGGAACCACGCCCTGCCTCCGCGCAAGGCCGCAAGGCCGCCCAAGGCCTGCAGTTCCGGATCACACTCATGCTCCCAGGAGGCTTCGGTTGAAGAAACTCGAAGGTAGTTTGTGGGCGCCAGCGCCGAGGCGACAACGGGGCCGCCTCGGCCCCGCGACGGTGCTCGTCGCTTGGGCTCGAAAGAGGCGAGAGACCGCTCAGCGCGGCTGCGCGGCGCTGGTAGCGAGGCAAGCGCGAGGTCTCGAGGGCGCCGCTGGGGGCGAAACCATCGATCAACCACTCTCTGCAGACCGTCGGGACATGGAGTGCCACGTATTACGACCTTGCCTCCACTGCTTCGGATATGTTTCTGATGATGCAGAGCATGAAGTCCCGATTGTGGCAATAGCGAAAAATGTGATCTCGCGACGACGATGGTGATGACATTGGTGTGCTTCCGCGGTGGTGCTGGTAGTGATGGCGATGGCTGCGGTGAGAGCGGGGAAGGAGACGCCTTTGAATCGCGCTCCTGCTCGCTAAAGATGTGCACGCAGTGAAAAACAACGACGCACTACGCGCACACCCATGGTCGCCGCCTGGCCACGGACGGGGGAATCGAATTCCAGTTGCGGGCCCTTCCCAAACAACTGGGCGCCTAACGAACCGAATCCGCGAACCGCACCACAATGCTCTCGTGGAGGCCCCGCCGGCAACTCCAATGGATGTTTCGCCAAATTCTCCGGTAAAATGTTGGCCGTATTTCCTTGGGAAGTTTCCGCCGAAATTCCTGGCGACACCTCCGCCAGATTATCTGGAAAAGTTTCCGCGTACATTTTTCTGCACTTAGAATCGTGACCCCCAAACATGCACGAGAAACCTCATTGAAAACTGTTCTGCCTCCGCCCCGGTAATCCAGCCTTGATATTTCCCTCATGCAACTGTTTTTGTAACCCGCGGATTTTGATATGCACCCGTTTTTCAAGTTGCTTACTGCTGCGAGCAAACGCCCGTGCGGCCCCAAAAACCTAGAGCTAAGGTAGAACGCCGTGAACCGGGTTTACGCGGTCCGCTGGTCCCCTTTCCCCGAGTCGTGAACCCCCGTCGCTTTCCTTGCGGTGCCTCGGGCGCTCGGCGCACCCCTCATGGTGGTGACGGGTCCCGATTCGGCAGGCGGCGGGGCTGGGGGGCAGGAGGCCCGACGCAGTCCGACGGTGCCCGACGGAACCCAACGGGGCCCGAAGGGCCCGACGAATCCCGAATCCCGACGGAGCCCGACGGAGCCCGACGGAGCCCGACGAGGATCGGCTCCCTGCACACTGCCCGGCGGATCCCGACGGGATCCCGACGGAGCCCAGCAAGTCCAGCGAGACGGACGCGAGCAGGTCTGCCCCGTGGACCCTGGAAGAACCCGATGACGCTCGACGGAGCCCGACGCTGCCCCGCGGAGCCCATCGAGATGCGGCGACGACATGCACCCCGAAGAATTCGGACAGGGCCCCAAACCTCCAGGCCCAGATAGACTAGGAGATCGGGGCCCCGACGGCAGTGCAGACTGCGGTATACATCGCAGAGCGATCGCCAAATCGCGCGCTTGCTGCATCCACAGAAGGCTTCATCGCGCACAGCACCCGACCCCGTGCGCGCGCTCATGCGTCACCCTGTCAAGGTAAGTGGCCCTGCCGCCCCTCCGCGCGCGCAGCGCTGCATCCCGATTGACAGAAAGGAGCTCTCCCCCGACGATCAATAAAAGATGCGATGGGCAAATGTATGCTTTCTCTCAGGGAGCCCTGCAAGGTCATTCTGAGTGTGCTCGTCACAAGAAAAACTGGGTCTGCGATGTCTTGCCGCCCAGACCGACCTCCCCGCGCAGGCAGGGTAGCAACTGCTCTAGGGGCTCGGACCCTGCAAGACTCAAGCGCTGAGCTGCGAGGAGAAACTCGTGCAATGTTGCAACATTGTGCAATGAATATGTTGAATTGCGAAATGAGTATTAGGAGGTAGGTTGCATTGCCTAATCCGAATTAGGGAACGGAGAGAGCCATCAGAGGATGCCAACGAAACATTAACGAAACTTGACATTGACTTGCAGGGCGCAACGTTTTCACGCCAGGGAGCTGGGTCGCAGCCAGTGCGAGAAAAGTATGGTACTGGGGTGTGCCTACCACTTCGCATGCCAGTCATCAGGTGAGCCAACACCTTTGCATAACTTGTGTCAAGGACCCGCGAGCAGCGAGCAACAATCTACCTCTGACGTGCACGGCTTTCTCTGTATTTGTGTTATTTCTCGTTCTATCTGTCTCAAGCCAGGCACTCGCAAGTCTGCCACGGACTCTAGAGGGTAAACAATTACTGGATGATCTTGATGTCGTTTACACTTTGCAAGCTATGATCCGACGCCGTAGTGGATTCCAAATCGTCTTCAAGCTCATCGCTGGGCCCGCTCTGACGAGCCGACTCCTTCTGCACGATGTAGAACTCGTTCGCGTTGGTGGCAACCAGGTACATGCCGCGCAGCACTCCAGTGAGCTCGATCAGGCTAATGGGGAGCAGCATCGAGACGTTCATAAACAACAAGCAAAGCCACCGCCCTACCCCCTCGCGGTACGGGGAAAAACATATCAAAAAACCTAGTAGGTAGTTAACGCAGAACACTTCCGCTACAAAGTCACGAACAAGGAGCCCCAGCACCCCTTGGTCGCCACACCCCAGTTGATACACCACCCTTACCGACATGATAAGGAACTGACAAGACCAACACATCATGAAACACGTGATGATGAAGTTTGTTCTGATTGGCAAATTGTTATCAAAGAAGAATGTACAATACGACATGCCGTGGAACCAGCGGGCACGCTGGTGGATCAGATCCAGGGGACCGAACGGAGACTGCTCGAACATGAACGCGTCTATCCACCGGATGCCGACCCGAAGCTCCGCGTTGGCAACGCAAGCAAAGTAGCTGTCCTCCGTGATGGAGGCCGCCTCGCCGTGGTCGAACCCGATGGCCGTCTCCACCGCCTGGTTGATGATCGCAAACGAGCCGTGCATGCCGATCGCTGGAAACTGGAGGCTCTCGGAGCAGAGCCGGAACTTCCCCAGGTCGTCGGCCACGCGTGCCACGTCGGCCATCGCCGTGAGGTGTGCCTCAAGGGGGACGCCGTTGGTGTTGTAGAGGATGACGCCCTGGCCGCAATCTGGGAACACGACTTCGCCGCGCTTCCCGTGCTCCTTCTGGAAAATAGGCTGGTACCGATACCGCTACTCCCCTACTCCCCGGGCCTCTCACGGGGCAAGTTCTGATCAGAATCGCGAGGCGGATCCAGCCGTGGCGACGAGGGCCTCCCAGGAGGCCCAAGAAAGCAAAAACGGGGCAAGGGTACAGTGCGGACGCCGCCGCAAGAAATCCAGCCCTGAAGACCCGCGCAACGAGAGAGGGGCGACTGGGGGGAAGCAAGCGAGGTGCGTCTGGGGGGAAGCCCAGAGCACCCTGGACGCCGCAGGTTCTTTCACGGACGCGGGAGGTCACCGCGCAGCGCGCGAAGCGAAGCTACCCCGGGTACCCTGACGAGAAGCATCTGGCTTCTGGATGCGCGGCCCCACTGTAGCGTGCAGCGGTATCGGTACCTTTTCCTTCTCTGACCTTCACGCGCACGTTCTCGTCGAGGCAGTGCCTCAATCCGTCACCGTGCCTGCAGCACGTCGAGGCATGGAATAATGTCAAGGGCTGTCTGGCAGGCAGGGCTTCTGCAGTCTTCTAAGGAACCTCCCCCTCCGCGGGAAGCACCCAACCACCCTACTCCCGGCGGATCCCTGGGCGGCCATGGCGCCTCCCTGGGGCTCTCCAACGCTTCCATGACGGCCCAAAAAGCCCACCCAGGCCGCCAAGAGGTCTGCAAGACAGTTCAATATCGCTGCGAGACGCCCACGATGGCCCCAAGACTGCCCAAGAGGCATCAAGGAACCCCCAAGAGCGTTCCAAGAGGACCTCCCAGAGAGCCCAAAGAAGCAAGAATCATGGATGTTCATTGTGTTGTTCCATGGTTTTTATCTTCTCGTTGTTTCTCGCTTCCGACCCCCCCAAGACCGCCCCATGATGGCCCAGGAGGCCCCGAGAGGGTCCGAAGACGGCCCAACCCCCAGAACTGCTCTTGAGGCGCCCCAGACAGCCTCAGACAGCCCCAAGACAGCCCCAAGAGGGGTCAGAGAGGGGGAACACTAACAGACACTTCGAGCATTCCGCCCGAAGGGGCTCGCAGAAAGCCCAAAAAGGCCTCCCAGAAGCGGCTAGAGGCCCCCAAGACGCCCCTAAGAGACCCCAAAGAGGTCCCCAGAGGGCCGCCAAGAGGCCTCTAAACTGCCTCCACCAGGCAACCGAGAGGCCTCCCGCGATATCACAACGAACATCCCATGAGGCCTATGACCCAAAACCCAGGTACTTAAGCGAGACTTGCCATAGGCAGCTGGATATCGCACACACTGCGTGCCCGTCGAAGCGCGTCTCCTCGTCCAGGTGCACGATCCAGTCGCTGGGGCGCGGGCGCAGCTTGGAGTGCAGCACGGCCCAATGCATCGCACGGGCCTTGAACTTCCCGCCGCGGGGGCACCTTTAGGGGGAAGACGAAACTGCATAAGTATACGCTTCCGGACCTCCGCGCGGATGTCTTGGATCGGCGCTGGACCCCCCTTCCTGGCGCGCGGAGCGCGCCAGGGGCGGCGCCAGAGGCGCCGCCAGGGGGGGGGCCAGCGCACGTCCAAGAAATCTGCGCGGAGCTCCGAGAGTTTGTTTATGCAATTAGTCTTCTTCTCGGTGTCCAGTCTGGGGTGAAGTGAGAGGGGGCGGGCCTTCTCAGAGGCTCGGAAGTCTTCTGGCCTTCTGAGATGTTTCGAAACCTTCCCTGAAGACACAAACAAACTGCTCAGAAGGAAAGAGGGCTTCAAAGAAGCTCCGCCGCCTTCTGAAAAGGCCTGCTCCTTCTCATTTCCCCACGGGCTCGCCGCCGAGTTATTCTTCTTCGACACCGGTACTCCGCGGGCACCACCGTCTCTTGGACGGGAACTCCAGGCAGGGCGCTCCCGAGCCCCATCGCGGCATCGGTGACGACCTCGAGGCGCCAGCAGCCCTCGCTGAGGCCGCTGTCGATGAGCGCCTCCCGAAAACAAAATTAAAGAGGCGCGAGCATACATTCAAGAAACATGAGAAACTTCATAAACAAGATTAGACCAGAGAAAAATTCCAATCAAAGTCTTGGTAGGGCTATAGGGCTATGGGGCTATTGGGCTCTGGGGCGATGGGACAATGGGGCTATAGCGCTACGGAACTATAGGGCTATAGGGCCATAGGAGTATAGGTCTATAGGGCTATAGGGCCAGGGCTATAGGGCTAGAAGGCTATGGGGCTATGGGGCTATAGGGAACAGGACCATAGAGCTATGAGTCTATAGAGCTCTAGGGCTATAGGGCTGTAGGTTTATGGGGATACAGGGCTATAGCGCTATAGGCATATAGAGCTATAGGGTCATAGGGCTATGGGACTGTAGGGCTATAGGGCTATAAGGCTGTAAGGTTATAGGGCTATGGGGCTATAGGGCTATAGGGCTATAGGGCTATTTGGCTATGGGGCTATAGGGCTATTGGGTTATAGGGCTACAGGGCTATAGGGCTATAAGGCTGTAGGGCTATAGAACTACAGGGCTCTAGGGCTACGGGGCTCTAGAGCTATAACGCTGGAAGGCTATAAGGCTATAGGGCTATTGGGCTATTGGGCTAAAGGGCCATTGGGCTATTGGGCCACAGGGGTATGAGACTGTAGGGCTATAGGGCTATAAGGCTCTAGGGCTCTAGGGCTATAGGGCTATAGCGCTACAAGGCACACGGGCACCCGGGCACCTGGGCACCCGAGCACTTGGGCGTGCCGCCGACATCGGCGACGCAGCTAACCTAACCATATGAATCAGCTAGGACCCCTGCAGAGGCAAGCTCTGATTGGGGAATTGTCCGAGGTCCGCGCGAATCTATTGGACCGGCGCTGCGGCCCTCTGGCGGAGCATCCGGCGCCGCCCCTGGCACGCTCCGCGCGCCAAGCAGGAAGTGGGGACCAACGCCGATCCAAGAAGAAATCCGCGCGGAGGTCCTAAAGCTCATGTTCATGTCAGCATCTGTTCTCAGAAAGAAAAAACACACGAACATAATCTTAAAGGGGCCCAGGCGGACACAAAGAAATCGACACACTAATTGCAGAATGTCCTACGTATATTCTTTCCACAGTTCCCGGATGTTCCTCTCCCCTTCCATTCCCCATGGCTTCCCAGAATTCTGCTCGTGAAAACCAGGGTTTCTTGTTGTGTTGCGCCAAATGCTCGCTCCTGGAAACTGTCGGGACTCCGCGCGGACTGCCCGGATCGGCGCTGGAGCCCCCCTGGCGGCGCCTCTGGCCGCCCCCCAGCGCGCTCCGCGCGCCAGGGGGAGGACCAGGCGCCGATCTGAGGCACCCGCGCGGAGCTCCAAAAGCACATGGTCGTGCCGTTCTTCTCGCTCCTCTTGCCTCGTGCGCGAGCCTCACGTTCAGCCTCACGAGCGACGGGTTGTTCCCCCGCGTGCAGAAGCGGAAGATCAGCACGGGCGACTCGCCAAGCTCCCGCATCTCCTTTCGGGGATCTTCTGACCCGGGTCAAACCAGACCCGCAAGATCCTGCAAGATCCTGCACCCAGAGGAGGAGGAGCAGGGAGGAGGAGCAGAGAGGAGGAGCAGGGAGGAGGAGGAGGAGATGCGGCATCTCCTCCATCAAGTCGCTCGCCGGCGAGGCAGGCCGCCGGAGCGTGGCCGGCCACCGCAGCTGCCCGTAGACGTTCAGGGTCAGCGGCACCGCGGCGACCAGGAACGTCAGCGTGCCCAGGGCCTGCACGGCCGCACTCCCGGTCACGGAGCCGTCGAAGACGCACTGGCGCGCCGTGTCCTTCACGCCCTCGCGCGCCGCCTCGAAGGACGTGACCGTGTTGAACGCCAGGAGGCACAGGAGCAGGATGAACTGCACGGCCAGAAGGACAGAACAACTGCACGGAGACACACCCTTGGAAATGCCGCGCGGGCCTCCAGGAGATCTGGCGGGTCTCTGGCGCGCCGGGGGTGGGGCCGGAGGCGTCGCCAGGGCTGGGCCGGGCGCCGATCCGAGCAGTCCACGCGGAGCTCCGAAAGTTTTGTCTTTGTGCAGTTTTTCTCTTCTTCGGATGGCCACGGTGGCCGGCCGCGTGTCCTCTCCGACCCAGGCGCCCAAGAAGGCCTTGCCTCCCGCCGGCTGACGGTCCAGCAGCCCCTCGCCCTCTTCCGCCCCTGGCCTGCGGACCGCGCCGCACCTCCAGGCGACACATGTATTGGAGGCGAGCGAGGGGGGGAAATGAGAAGGAGAAGGCCTTCTCAGAAGGCGGCGGGACTTCTCAGAAGCCCTCGCGCCTTCTGAGAATTGTTTTCTGATTTCGGGGAAGACTTTGAAAACTTCTCAGAAGACCGGGAGACTTCCAAGACTTATGAGAAGGCCTGCCCCTTCTCACTTCCCCCCTCGCTCGCCGCCGAATATAACTACCGGCACAGCTATTAAGGTTCTGAGGTCCGCGCGGATCCTCGACCATCAAACCTCGAGCCTTGGACAAGTGATGCAACTGCTGCAGGTCGTGTCGAAGAATCGTCCAGGGGACCTCCCTGGGGGTAGTTTTTCATCCTAGGTCCGTCTCTGACGTTCCTGGGGCAAGGAAACGGCAACCGGTGACCAAAAACGATGAAAAACCCAAGGAGACGAAGACAAACAATGCTGCGCTGTAAAACTGCACTACGTTTCCAAGACAAAGTAGATCCCCGATCACGGATCCTGGATCCTGGATCCTGGATGCCAGGTTGGCGCCAGACCGTCCTGCCTGGCGCGCGGAGCGCGCAAAGGGCGGCGCCGGAGGCGCCGCCAGGGAGTGCCCAGCGCCGATCCAGGCAGTTCGCGCGGAGTTCCGAAAGTTTCCAGGAGGGAGCACTGGCGCAAACACTACAAAAACGCTGACTCTCATGAGCAATCGTATGGGAAGCCAGGGGAAATTGAGGGGGACAGGAAAACCCGGGAACTGTGGAAAAGATGTGGGACACTCTGCAATTAGCGTGTCGATCTCTTTGTGTCCGCCTGGGCCACTTTAAATCTATGCTGGTGCCGTTTTCTCTTTCGGAGAACAGATGCTAACATGAACATGAGCTTTCGGACCTCCACACGGATTCCTTGTTGGATCGGCCCTGGGATCCGCACCGAGGCTTGAGCATCGGGGGTCGAGCATCGAAGGTCGAAGGGTCGAGCATCGAGGGTCGAGCATCGAGGGTCGAGCATCTGGGACCCAGGATCCAGGATCCAGGTTCGAGCACTGAGGCTCGAGCATCGAGGGTCGAAGGTCGAGGACCACAAGCCGAGGACCGAAGCTCTGCGCGGACCTCCGAGGGTCCCACCGGCCCTGCGGGCTCACGGATCCGGTTCCAACGTCCTGGCCGTTTGGGGGGAGGGAGGAGGAGGAGGAGGAGGAGGAGGAGGAGGAGGAGGAGGAAAAAAAGGAGGAGGAGGAGGAAAAGGAGGAGGAGGGGGAGGAGGAAGAGGAGGAGGACGAGGGAGGAGAAATCCCACCAGCACTCTAGGCGCAGGTGGTCTAGAGAGCTTTCTCTTCCAACCCCCGTCTTCCCCTTCTCTTCCAACCTCCTTTCCGTTGGGGGAGGAGAGGCTTAAAGTGGAGGCCGGTCCACAAGACACCTTCCACAAGAAACCCAACCTTGAGACCCCAGGAAATCCGTCGATTTTTGGCGTGGGAACGTTGCGTTTTCCATGGCGAAACCATCGAAACCCAAGAAACCCAGGGAACCCTGGAGGCAAGCACGGTGTTTCTTGGCATGGGCCCCCACTGTATCACTGTCCCCTATCAATGTACACCCCCTCCCCAAGGCGACCGGAAGCCAACCAGGAACCATGATCACCCGTTCACACCGTCACTCTTTAAAACCAAACACAGCGCACTTTGCCTTCACATTTGAAGCATGCGCGGCCAACCCGATGCCCCCCCCCCCCACCATCCCTCTGTCAAAAAACGAAACAAAGTATACTTTGGGACAAAAGCTTGAGCCATGTTCGTGAGATTCGCGAGCACTTTGTATTGTTTTTGACAGGGGTGGCGGGGGTGGCAGCATATTGCTTGCTGCGCGCAGGGCTACATCCTTAAAACAAATACAGAATTTACCACATGCACCTCGCTGCTAAATCTGGATCATGCGCGGCCACCCCGCGAGCACTGTCAAACGATGTTTGACTGGGGCGGCGGGGATGGTGGCACATGGCCTGCTAGCCTGCTGTGCGCAGGCCCACCAGACACAATGATGGGCGTTGGTTTTCGACAAAGATGGTGGGTGCCAACATGTTTCACGATGTGTACTGTCACGTGCGCAGGCGCACCTGCCACACTCTGCGCGTGCCCCGAGTTTGAAGGGGGCTGGGAGGCCCAGCCAGTAATTTCGCCTCAGGCGAAGCCAAGCTCCCGCTCTGTTGTACCGTACCAGCGACAGTCCCAGTATGAGAGGATGTGCCATCTCAAGCAGTAGAAGGATCCTTTTGGTCTCGATAGCGATTGTGTGTCTCGTAGTGAGGCACAGTCATATTTGGGCGGCCGGCCGATCGAGCCGACGCGGCCGCGGGCGCGCGCTCGTTTCCACCCCTTGCGTCCCTCAGCTCGCTTTAGAGCGTGGGGGGGAGACGAAGCGCGAGCCCGTCGCCCCTATACAGCAGGCACAGCAGCTAACAGACACAAGAACAGAAGAGGAATCGGGCCAAAAGGGAGGTGGACCCGCTCGCAAGTTGCCTCGCTTGTACAGTTATGTACGTGACGCACTCATCCGGCGGCGTCAGAACTTCATGTCTGGCCGGCCCGATATGGAGTATGTCTCTTCAGGTCATGCTTGAGGTCCTGTATGCCCCCCATGACTTGTAGGAGCATTTCTCCGTCGATGCTCCCCTTGGTGTGACCATCCGCAGACAGATCATGGGTGTCACACCACTGGATGCTGCGCACGATTCCACGCTCCATCATCTCTCGTAACCAACTGATGTGTCCTAAAAGGGTACACTCAGTCGGCTTCTTCAAGTCTCTGCTTGAGAAGGACTTGAAAACAGACTCAGCATCGATGGTCAAGGTGACCTTGGTGCTCAGGCCACCCAACTCCAGCGTATATTGCAACTGAGCGGGCGCGAGCGGCCCTGCGTGGAGCACGAGCAAGCGGCGAGACTTGCAGCGCGCATCAATCAAGTGAACGACAGGCTGACCGGATGACGTGTTTCCACGTCGTAGCAGGTTTGCCCCGCGAATACCATAGCCTTCGACGTCGCCATCGGCGTCTCCACACAGGCGTCGGTATCCTGAGTCGCCATGCAGGTCGACCTCGCCCGTAGGATTCATCGCCTGGTAGGCGATCTTCTTTGGGCAGGCCTGTAGCTTCCTGGGAATCGCGTTCAGTCGTCGCGCATGGACTTGGATGTCGGTCGGTTCTTGGACACGTTGTAGAGAAACAACATACACCATCAACCACACCTGGGTGATTAATGCATACGCCAGCGCACCCCTGAGGCTGACGAACATGTCTGCAACCATCTCTGTTGCCTGACCGTCAGCGTCGGCGCTGGTCAATTCGGGACGTTGTATAGGACGGAGCTGTTTGATATATTCATCTTGGTCCAAAGTGGCATTGCCGTCCTCATCCTTGGTGTATCTCACAGCATACTTGGTGCATGTGTGCTTGTTGAGTTTACGCTTGCCAAAAGCAGCTTCAACGCATTTGACATACTTGACAATGGCGTCCTCAGTACTGGCAATATTCCTGTCATCGGCATGCCTGGCCGTGAGCAAGTTGTTGCTCGCATCGAACTCCTCGTCGTGGGACGCAGGTCGGAGACCGAAGCCTCTGGTGGACCTCCTGAGCTTAAGTGAGAAAGCCCGTGGAGCGTCTTTGGTGCCTGTGCCTGGTTTCAAACACTGCAGGCAGTGCTTTGACTCGCCATAGTGCTCGAATCCTGGGAGAGTTCGGAGCACCGCGGCCGATCCAGGCGGCAAGGTAAAACATACCTCGCGTTCCTTTTCAGCGGTAGCTTCAGCCAGTTCCTGAAAGGTCAGCCCCTTCAGGAAGGCCATGTTGATGTCGAGGGAAGCAACGGTCCATTGCTCATTGCACGCTGCCGCGCTAGCAATTAGCCTCTGGCTTGACCGTCGCGCCGTTCTCGAACATGTTTCTGCGTCGAAGGCTTCAAGATCTACGAAACCAACCTCGGAGAACCAAACGTAGTCTGATGGTGCGTTCCATCTCGCCCTTCTCGTTCTTCACGAACTTGAAATTTGCAAGCGTATCTCGAAGTCACGGTGTTCGACGCTTTAGCTATATCTTGCATCTTAAAGCACAGGTTCTCAAACCATGTCTTTCAATGTAGAGGGCCTTCGATACTTTATCGGGAGTTGCCTGGATGTCAGCTTTGGAGAGGATGTCGTCTTCCTTGACGACCACAGCTCGCTTTGCAGCGGCGGTTGAGCATACTCGCATAGTGGTCACCCGGTCGGCATCTAGTATTAGATTGCTGTTCGGACAGGACTACCTTTGACATTTCTGTCGTAAAGCAAGGTTCGACAGATCGACCATTTTCATCTGAATCCAGTCCGTAGTTGTCGTCTTCGATCATGGTGCACATTGGGACGTAGTACGTCTCCTCGGTATCGGAGTCATGAGCGCGCCCCCGCTTCGGCAGGTGCCCCCGCGGCTCACCAGCTACAGTGATCAGCGCACTTTGATATGGAACCAGCTGCGTAGGTATGGCGAAGGAGTCCTCTGGTGGAGTTGCCTCCAACAGTTCCTTGTCCTCTTGTAGTTCTGCATGCCGCACTTCCGCGACAAGCGACGCAATATCAGCATCTGATTCTTCGTAAATCGTAGAAAGCCGCCCATCCTCGTGCGGTGGTGCGGCCTATGAGGTTTCTCTTGTGGTTTCCTCCGGTGTCGGTGCATCTGCCAATTCCTCAAATCTTGGCATTGCCTGATCAAAACCTGCTTGAGGTTTAGTGGGCTTCAGGCATTGAATAACTCTCGAATGTGCTGATCCAGTTATATCTTGTAGATTCATAGCAGCACCTTCTCCATCATGATAATGGAATCCTGGATTCACGTCGTTGTCGTAGCGGGCCAAAGTGCAGCTGTCGGCATAAGTAACCGGAGGCAGCTTATGAAAACTCTTAGCTAACCTGACCGAAACCACATTCTCAATACAAAAGAAGTTCCTGATAAGGCACTGCAGAGCTGAGTGCACCTTGGG